TATGAGACCCAGAACATAATTCAACAATAAATATAACCAGACGAGACCCAGAACAATCATAACTCAACAATAAATATAACCAGACGAGACCCAGAACAATCATAATTCAACAATATGTATAACCAGACAAGATCCAGGACAATCATAACTCAACAATAAATATCACCAGACGAGACCCAGAAAAATCATATCCAACAATAAATATAACCAGATGAGACCCAGAACAATCATAACTCATAACAGATGAGTGCATAAAGCTGCCAAGGTAGGGATTATATTTTATAAATTTGTGATTGTGGTTTGAATGTTTGTTTTATTATTTTTTGTAGCATGAGCCTTACTTCATTATAAAATTCATAATTATTTGTCCCTTAGTGACACAGTGGTATGTCTGTGAACTCACAATGCTAGAAACTGGGTTTCGATACCCGTGGTGGGCATAGCACAGAAAAACCTTTGTGTAGCTTTGTGCTTAATAACAAACAACAATAACATAATTTTAATACTCTTGTTTGTTTACTTTTATGTTATACCTGTATAAAGTATATACTTTACCTTTAGAAACTGTCGCGTGTCTATCTATCGATATGTATCGCCATCTGTTGGGTTGAAAAGATATTTAAGTACGTGCATAATATGTTTACCATTTATAAGAAATCTGTATATATTTATAGGAATATCAAAAGCGGATACCCACAGACCAGTCATATAAGCTGGAAAAATCTTGTAGTGATAGTCAGAGTCATCTAGGGGCCAGTCTCGCTGACGTGATTAGTTGGGTAGGTAGTACGAAAAAGTTGCTGTTTTAGAAATTTTTTAATTGTAATACCGGAAAAGTTAGCGATCTTTTTAGCGTATTATTAGTATGTATGCGCATAATATGTGGTAATCAATACTTTGAATGATTGGTTTTTCACTTAGGAGTTCAATAAGATGTTTTTTGGCGTGTGTATTATTTGGAAACCTTGTCGATTTTTACTGTTAAGTACTACTGTACGTAATAATGTATTATTTTGATGATTCCGTATCTTGTCTGGCTATGTATTGTTGAGTTTTGGGTATTCAAGTTACCTGTAATTATGTTTATTGTTGAGTTTTGTGTATTCAGGTTAGTTGTGATTATATTCATTGTTGAGTTTTGTGTATTCAGGTTAGTTGTGATTATATTCATTGTCGAGTTTTGTGTATTCAGGTTAGTTGTG